TCCCAAATATTTCACCCAGATAGCAGCAAAAATGGCTGAAATAGCAACCAAAACCAACCCAAAATGTCCCAAAATTCCCCCAAAACCAGCCCAAAATGCTCCTAAAGTGACTCAAAATCCTCCAAAAATGTCCCCAAAGTGTCCCCAACTCCATGGGGACAGAAATCCCAAACATGGGATCAAAAATCTGAAAAACTGCACCTGGGTCCCATCAAAAATGGCTGAAATGGCACAAAAAATGTCCCCAAAAGTGCCCCAAAATCCAGCCCCAAATGCTCCTAAAGTGACTCAAAATCCACCAAAAATGTCCCCAAAGTGTCCCCAAAGTGTCCCCAACTCCATGGGGACAAAAATCCCAAAACTGGGATCAAAAATCCCAAAAACTGCACCTGGATCACATCAAAAATGGCTGAAACGGCACTAAAAATGTCCCAAAATCCCCCCAAAACCAGCCCAAAATGCTCCTAAAGTGTCCCCAAATCCCCCAAAAGTGTCCCCAAAGTGTCCCCAACCCAAAGTGTCCCCATGGGGACAAAAACCCCCAAAACTGCACCAAAAACGATGGAAATAGAAAAAAAAAATAATCCCCAAATCCCCTCAAACCGCCCCAAAACCAACCCCAAATCCCCTAGAAATGTCCCCAAATGTCCCCAAAGTGTCCTCAGGTGTCCCCAAGGTGTCCCCAAAGTGTCCCCAGGTGTCCCCAGGTGTCCCCAAGGTGTCCCCAGGTGTCACCTCGTCCTCCCTGAGCTCCCCGGCCCGTTTGGTCAGGTCGATGTCAGCCCCAAACCCACCCCAAAATCCCCCTGAAATGTCCCCAAAGTGTCCCCAGGTGTCCCCAAAGTGTCCCCAGGTGTCCCCAAAGTGTCCCCAAGGTGTCCCCAGGTGTCCCCCAGGTGTCCCCAGGTGTCACCTCGTCCTCAGTGAGCTCCCCGGCCCGTTTGGTCAGGTCGATGTCAGCCCCAAACCCACCCCAAAATCCCCCTGAAATGTCCCCAAATGTCCCCAAAGTGTCCTCAGGTGTCCCCAGGTGTCCCCCAGGTGTCCCCAAAGTGTCCCCAGGTGTCCCCAAGGTGTCCCCCGGTGTCACCTCGTGCTCCGTGAGCTCCCCGGCCCGTTAGGTCAGGTCGATGTCAGCCCCAAACCCACCCCAAAATCCCCCGGAAATGTCCCCAAAGTGTCCCCAAGGTGTCCCCAAAGTGTCCCCAGGTGTCCCCAAAGTGTCCCCAGGTGTCCCCAGGTGTCCCCAGGTGTCACCTCGTCCTCGGTGAGCTCCCCGGCCCGTTTGGTCAGGTCGATGTCCGCCTTGCGCAGAACCACGTGAGCGTAACGCCGGCCCACGCCCTGCGGGGACAACGGGGACAGTGAGG